AGAATGCAACAAGCAGTTGAGCACCTGTTTTCTGACGGATCTGCATATCGCCACCTGAAAGCCTTGTTTTCTTTTGGCTCTCGTCTTTGTTCTACCTGTCGCTCTGAGATCTCTTAGGGTTTGTTGTCCTAGTGGATGCCTGTCTGTCTGTTTGTCCTCCCGTCCGTCCGTCTGTTTGTCATGTCTGTTTGTGGTGTTGTGGTTGCTGAGACAGATGCACTGATGCCTGTGATTCGATGCTTTATCTCCACTAGCTCCAGTGTAGGTTGGAGGGGCTTAAAGATGATCGCAGGAGGACCTTCAGCTCTCGAGTAACTATCCCGACCCCCTTCTTCCCCCTCACCCCTCCCTCCCTCTCCCCTGCCCTTTCCTCACCCTCCTTAGAGGAGCGCGCAAAACAAACGCCCCGCTCTGTGCCCTCCCTCTTCCTCCTCGCTTGCCTAGCTTTCTCTCTGACTCTCACTCACATGTCTCTCTATCTCTGTCTGCTGCCACTCGTCTGTTTTCTTGTTCTCGATCTGTCTGCCGTTAACTCTTGTCGCTCTTTGTCTTGCTGTTTCTCTTTTCGGTCTGTCAGGATGCTTACTCTGGCCATCTCCCACACATACCTTTCTGTCTATTGTTGTTCACTTGCTCTCTTCGTCTGTACTCTTCCTCCCATCTGCCTGTCTGTCTCTGTTTCTGTCTCTCTGGTGAATTTGCTCTGCTTTCAGTAGTTCTGTCTGGTGTGCTAGATGTCTGTTAAATAGATGCCACCTAGGCCGGTTTTGGTTTGGATTGTTTTTGTTGCTTTCTTATTGTTTTACTTCCTCTCTGCTGTGTCATAGCTCTGTAGTTAGTGGAGTCTGTCTAGTCTGTGCTTTCTATTTTTGTTCGTTTCTTTCTTTCTGGGCTGTGGGATCACATCATACTGATTCTCATCCTTCCACACCTCCTGTCTACCCGACCATCAAGTCTCCTGGCCTATGTTTGCTTTACATCCCATCCACCCAGACCCACCACCCATTATCCATCCTCTCACCTTGGCTGTTTAGTGTCCAGTGGTGTTGTAGTTTTGGCTTAGGTTACAGTGGAGGGGAGGAGATAGGAAAGGGTGGGTGAGTCACTAGAGAAACCTCCACCTTCACCACGGGTGCTTTGGTTCTCCATACACCACATACCACCTACAACCTGTGTCATAATTGCAGGTCACACACAACTGAGATGGAAGGGAGGATTTAAAGAGCTCGGATGGAGTAAAGGACATGTAACACAGACAGATAATATCTATAAACAAGGCTATGGGTTGTTTTAAATGACACATCTTGATGTGAGAGCAGATAAACAGGCAAGTAAACAGACCCGTCTTGATGAAATGACATACATTCCCTGGGCCTGAATTTGTGTATGTATATACATGTAGTCTGGGAAACTACATCCTGTGATTTTCCTTTCCCTATTAATTATTTCCAGTGGCTGGGCTTCCCAAAAACATAGCAAAACATCCTCCTCATAAGGACACGTCAATACATCAATGTTTTGCTTGTTTAACACAAATTCCATTACTCTGTAACAGTGTGACGATTTGAAAAAAAATGCAGCGCTTGTGCATCCACGATTTTGAAGATGTACAGGTCGCATGTCCCTTTTTGTTTTCCTTTTCTTTTCTTGCTAAACTTTAACCATGGACTGGATAAGGAGGCCGTTCAGTTTATTTAGGAAGCCTTTAAGGTTTGATTTGATGCATTTGAAACTCCATATTGACAGATACAACTGTCCAAATTTCCCAATTTTTATCCTGGGCTGTGTATAAGCATGTACTAATGTATGGAAGAAAGCCGTCCAGACATGTCACTCATCACAACATGGTTAATGCTCTCTTGTAAAGCCCCTTATAGAAAAAATAGAAGTAAAATTGATATCTTAATAGATGGCATATTTCTAGAGAAAATCGCTGAAAGCGAATATAGATAAACAAAGGCCTTTTGGATTTAAGAAACCTGCTTCTGCTTCATAATATTACCTTTAAGGCACATTTCAGCATTACCTCCAACTTGTATTTGACATGTTTTGTATTGTGTTTCTTTCCATTGGCTGGTTTTTGGGAAACTCAGCTTAATTCGAACCCATTCTGCTCTCCTCCCCACCCCGCCATAGATTGAAAGACACTACCTCACGTTCCCACGAAATTCTTATCATCTTGCACCACATCTGAACAGCCACTATCTATACTCAGCACTACATTTCAACAACATTTGATGTTACACCGTAGCACAGTTAATGCATCTGTTATTACCTCGTGAAACAATATTGTCACTGTATGTTGTTGCCTTTGTCCGTGTAGTCTGTTAAGCACTTTAATGTCATGATAGTGTGACGTACCAGTGCATTTCTCACCTGTGATGTAATGCTGCGCAGTAGAGTAGGTGATCATCATGTAAAGCAGGAGATGTAGCCATCTCCCACCTGCAGGACAAAGTGCACAGTGTAGTGTGACACAGCTCTTGCCAGTGCCTCTTATCATCTCAGCCATGTCAAAAGAGCAGATCAGTTTATTTCAAATTACCACTACGTCTGCTTTCTTTTTCTCTCCTTTTGCCCTTTGTCTGCCTCTCCCAATCACTCTCTCCATCTCCAGGTGCAGTCACGATGCAGCAGCAAAGAAAATATCCTAAGATCAAGTAAGTGCTAACTTTCCTGCTCCCTGTGTGCCAGGTCTGCACGCCACAGAGCATGTTCCCAAACACCTGAATAGATTTTAAACGCGCCTTTGATGTGACAATGTGAGCTTGATTTATGTGTTTCCCCGTGTGTGGCTGAAGTGTTATGCTTGCATGTCTGTGTGAGTAAGTGATGTTTTGCCAGAGATTGTTAAGCTTCATGTTAGGCATCAAAATATGCTGCGGAAGCGTAAGTGTATGTTTAAAGGAGGGAAATTGGGTCAAGGGAAATCAAAGCATGGCGCCTATTCTTTGCTGTGAGGCAGAGGGAGAAGGAGGCAGAAAGAGATAAACACAGAAGGAAAGAAAGCAGATTACACATTAGTTACACCTGGCTTTGTTCCTTTTACCTTTGGAATTATTAGAGAGGTATTATTAGACCAACATGGCTGCTATCGAGCACCTCTATCATCCAGCTGTGTTCCGCAAACACACAGGACCGTGTGTCTTGCCAGTCCCTTTTCATGCTATTCAAATTGTGTTCTTGCACGTATACCTGCATGCAGATATAATAAATCCTTTCCAACCAGTCACCTTATATTAGTGTGAGAACTTGCATGTTTATTTATATTACTGTTAATCTCCATCTCTACATTTTATGCGCAAATGATATGGAACATGAGTTGTATTGCTGTAGCCGCAAAGCCAGTATGTGTATATCATTGTGAATTAGTTTTTTGTCGTCTCTAGGGATATTTCAGAAATTCACTTTCTTGCATTTGGCAGAGCCACATTGATTCCTTCTATCGCGGCACTGAATCCCAAGAGTTATGTTTCTGGTGCCTTCCCGCTTTAAGTCCTCCAAATAGAGAATGAAAGTGCTGAAAGATTATTTAAATCCATCTTTTTTTGGAATATCCTTTGATTTTTGTAGCACCCGTTTCATAGTGGTGTACTGTATGTAAAGTCACTCATCTTCTCAGGTCACAGTGCAGTGGACATCACCAAGGTGGCCCGGAGGCACCGCATGTCCCCCTTCCCCCTAACCTCGATGGACAAGGCCTTCATCACTGTGCTGGAGATGACAGCCGTCCTGGGCACTGAGATCATCAACTACAGAGGTGAGAAAATCCCAATTTCAGGCTGAATCAGATGTCGCAAAAAACAGCCATGTTCGATGTCTACATCCTTCATCTTTTTACTGCTGTTGCTTCGGCTCCTAAAGATACTGGGATATAGAGATATTACACACTCCAGATCAGTGTAGCAGCATGTGCTGACAACAACTGGGCACTTCACTGAATCAGCAGTCTTTGCCCTCAGGCACGATGTCAATCGCACAGGAACAAATTCTCTTGACTGCAAGGGCACAAACATAACAAACAAACCTCTCCTAAATATAGCTGCTAGCAGCAATGAGTGGGGCAAACAGTTCAGCAGGACACAGTCGTCATGGCAACTTGATCCGATCATGTTAAAAGCACGGCTGGAAGTGATTGGCAAAGAGAACGCACTTCTGTATATTGCATTTTCCCTCTGTGTTTAAATGACGCTGCATTTAATGGACAGCCTGAAACCATCTATACAATCCAGCTTGGTATCGATATATAAAACAGGAAATCTTCTATGCTGATTTAGTAAGCAGTTAGATGTTGTACTCTTAGCCTTAAAATAATGGTCTACAGAAGGTCAATCAGAATTTACAGGTAATAAAAGAACAGATAAATGGATTTGTAATGAGCTGGCAGCGCAAAACAGCATTTTGGGAAGCAATTTAGGACCTTTTATAAGAATATTTCTAAGCCCTTGGTGCCCATGTTGCACCAAATGGTGAGCCAAATTGACTTGGCATATACTGTTACAGTTTATCTGATAGGGCCAAATATGTGTGGGTCAGTTTAAAAAAGACATTTACTGAAATAAGTTTCCTCTGAGAGCAGCACGGTGCCGTGTTGGTTGGCACCATTGCCTTAAAGCAATCCTGGCTTGATCCTGGTCGCAGGTTTGAATGTTCTACCCGTGTATGCGTGGGCTCTCTCCAGGTACTTCAGATTTCTCCCACATTAATTGAGACTCTAAATTGACTGGTGCTGTGTAAGTTTACTTCTTACATGTATATGATAATTGGATGTCAAAATCATTACATAAAAGCTCAAGGCAGCCAGTAATGTCACATTTTGCTGCCCTCTAGTGTTCGAAAACACAACATAGATGGGCACAACAAAGTATTATTCAAATTAATTTCTACTTTCTTGTATGTCAATGCAGGCGGGATGCTCATTGAATTTCGGATTCCTACTAGTTTTTTCTCACTCTGATGTCGCAAAATTAAGATATTTGACTTAACTGAGCATCTGTGTGTGTAAAATTGCTGGAGGCAAACTTGCACATAAAAAGAACTTTAGCTCCTGAGCATCATTTCATCCCTCTGGCAAAGTGACTAAAGTGTCAGTTCAGGGTGCTGCAGAACCAAGCTGGGGGCCAGAGGATGAATCACTCACCAACACCCCACCAAAAAAGGAGCGATGAATGCCAGGGGTTAGTAATGGCCTGCAGCATACGTGACCCCTCAATCAGAGATGCTAGAGGGGACATTTTTCTCTATGCAGGTGTAAAGCGATGTTTCATGTTTTCAAAGGGTGGGACTCAGCTGCAGGATTTGCATGTGTACTGCTAAGAGGAGGACAGTGGGATGAGGAGGGGGAAAAGGGTGGGCGTTGGAGAGATGAAATATTTAGACTGACAACAGCTAGAGCAGCTCCCCTGCTCTAGCTGTTTTTTTGCATATTGTGTGCATCTGCTCTGTGTCTCTTTTTAGAAAGTACATACATACATACATTCTCGAACAAAAATATTACTTTTTAAATGAATATGTTGTTCCTTACCTTAAAGTAGGGCCTTAAAAAACAGGACATGTGACTAAAGTATTTCATCCGTTGTCTTTTGAAAACTGTCCAACAAAGATATCTGTCTCATTTTTACTCAGCCGCAGCCCATGTTAGTAACAGGCTGTTTAAATGGCGGTATGGAAGGAGATTAGAAAATATATCTAAAATGAGACACCATTGACTTTAAATTAACCTGTAAGGTTCCAACATGAGCATGTGTGTCTCCTGTGATTGTGTGGGAGTGTGTGTTTGTACATGTATATATATTTTTCTCTCTATCAAAGCTTAGATCTTCATATTAACACCCACATAATCACAGCATTGAAGCTCAGAGAAATTGTATTTATAGCACACAGCAGCTTAAGGTATTTTAGTACTGGGATTTTTTTTCCCTGCCACCCACTCTTCTGCTGAGTTCTTCTGCTTTTCTTTCTTTTATTCACTCATTCAAAGCTGTTGTCTCATTGAAAAGTCAGACTGGTGGTAGCTGTAGACGTTCTGGACAGAGGCACTTGCAGCACTGGTCTTACTGTATTAGTAAACTGAAACGTTAACTCTCTCTATCTTCATCTAAATTAGATGGCCCATCTCTCCCTCTCTGAATTTGCCTCTCTCAGGCTGCCATTCTCCCCCTATTAAGACTTCCCTAGCTTATCTACCTCTCAACCTTCTTCTTCCTTTTCTCCCAAAGATGGTATGGGTCGAGTCCTGGCTCAGGACGTTTATGCCAAAGACAACCTACCACCCTTCCCTGCTTCAGTCAAGGATGGATATGCTGTGAGAGGCAAGTACCATATGTCCATTAGATGTGACTGATTCAAATGTAATATTTGGGGCAATGTCTAACTGTCTGAACATCTGAGTTTCGGTCACGGGTGCCCAGGTATGGCCTTTTCAGAGCTTAAAATGCAGTACGCTCCCTCATCCCTTTGCAGTCTCGCGCCCATTCACACCTTGGACTTTGGGACCAAAACTCAGTCGCTCAGACAGTTAGGTAATCTAGAGGTGAGAATGACTCCAAAGACTCTCCCGCTGGCCGGGGGTTCAGAGTAAAACAACTATTTCTGCTTATAAGCTGATACTTTATAAGACGACTTTGGGGTGTGAGGTGAAACATCTTCAGGATCCATTAGTAAAGTCCAGTCGCATTGACTCAAGCTTTTAGGACTATGGCTCATAACCTACTTAACTAAAAATACCATTAAATTAATTACTATCTCACAACTACATTACATAAGGTTTTATCTGCATGCCTAATTGTGCCTAATCTGCCTTTTTATTTCAGCGGCCGATGGTCCAGGTGACCGCTTCATCATTGGAGAGTCACAAGCTGGAGAGCAGGTTTTGGTCCACATGCTTATTTTTCCTATGTCGTACAAGCACACACAAACCTAAAGTCACTATTGCAAATGTTTTTACACAAACCACATTATTTTTGTTCTTCGATTCTTGCCTTAACTCCCCTTAATTTAACACGAGTTCCCAGACAGTGAATAAGAGCCAAAGTAGTACCAAACTCTCAGTACGTTTGACCTGAGGCAAGACTAAGCGTTCTTATTGTTTAAATCATTTCCTATTGTTTTCTTATATGACCTGCATTTGCCCTTTTTGTCCCATGCCTTTATTATGTTTTGCCTTTTTTTTTTTTTACTCAAAAGCATTTTCAGCTGCTTTGTATGAAACTTTGTGAACAAAGTTTTCGAGTCTTCTGGCTACTAAAATTGGTTTGTCCTCATGAGGGCCTAAATCCAGCTGGCCTAACTAGCCTGAGTCTGGGTGCTCACGCTAAGCGAGATCCCTGTTTGCCAAAATTGAGGTCATGCCATATGGTCAGTTATCACTGGGAATTTAGCTAATTGAGCCAATAGAAACAAGCCCAAACCTGAGCACTCAGAACAGGAACAAGTCTGATAACCATTGCTGGCTCACCAAACACAACTCTCTCCACAGACACACAGCGAGCACTGAGCCTCATTCACCAGGCTAATGCATGTCATTATTCATCGTGAAGAACAGTGCTTTGAACGTTTTGTTTTTCAAGCAAATTGCTGTTAATATATCTTAATGACTTAGTGACTAAAAATATGGTCAGAATGTGAAGCTGCCCAATCAAAATCAAACCGAAATGTGTCCAGGTTTGTCCACACGTGTAATTTAACATTTGTCCCTTCTGTGCATGTGAAGCCCACCCACACAGTGATGCCTGGCCAGGTGATGAGGGTGACGACAGGTGCACCAATACCCTGTGGGGCAGACGCTGTAGTCCAAGTGGAAGATACTGAGCTCCTCCGCGAGTCTGAAGATGTAAGTGTAAGCTGTGACACTCGTCACATGAAACGAATGTATTTGTTTTTGCAGAATTGCAGAAAAGATCGTGACGTACTCGTTCACTAAAATTAATCTGATTGCTGTTCCATGTTTTAGGGCACAGAGGAGCTAGAGGTTCGCATTTTAGTGCAAGCTCGTCCGGGACAGGACATAAGGTTGGTTAGGGTGTTATTTTTGCCCAAAATCTGAGCCTTTTATAATTTTTTTAGTTTACTTTCAATCATAATGAGCGTAGTGTACTTATATTATACTGTATATCACGAAATGAAAGACCTCAAATGCACAGCACTGCACATCTTAGCCAGAATTGAAATACAATACAGCAACAGCATTTAGTGTCTCTGCAGGTCTAAATTCACAGTCAATATCTCTCCACAGGCCTATTGGTCATGACATCAAACGTGGGGAGTGCGTGCTGGCCAAGGGAACCCATATGGGCCCGTCTGAAATTGGCCTTCTTGCCACTGTTGGAGTCACAGAGGTGGAAGTCCAGAAATTCCCTGTGGTGGCTGTCATGTCCACAGGAAATGAGGTACAATATTTAAAACAATGTGATCTAATTAAGACAAATATGCCCCATAAGAGTTGTCTTTTTTAATTCATCTGCTTCATTTGTCTAAGCTCTGCTCCATTTTTCCTGATCCTATTCACATTTACACACAATCACTATATTTTCCCTGAGATTTTGAGAGTTGAATTTGCATTCAACTATTTCATATGGGGTAAAAATAGTGCAAAACGTAAGTTTAATTGGGTTTAACCCAAGTAGGAAAAAAAATATTTTCTCATATATTCAAGTCAGATACATCATAGCCCTAACTTAGTCATATAAAGCAAAATAGGTGGCATATTGCCTTCAACTGCTTTCGAGTTATACTAAATGATGACCTTGTGGAAGAAATGGAGCACAGTTTTCATCTTATTCTTAACTAAACAGCACAAGATTCTTTTATAGTACACTCTACACCTTGACTGTCTTATTAAATGTTATTTTAGTTTTTAGATAGACAGTCAACGGTAGATAGATAGAAAGATATACATAGATAGATTGATTTAAATAGAAATCAACTGTATATAGAGTGGATTTTATTTGTTGTTGTTGTATGTATGCTGTGTATGTATACTATGTACAGATCAAAACCTACTGCTATACACCACCAACAATTTTAATCAAATATAGCTGTAGTTTTTTAATAATCCTGCCAAAAAATAAATAGTATTAAGGTATTATATGTATGCTAATATTTGGTGTAACTTACCTTTAATACGATTATTGCATGTTGATGGATAATTTTCAGGGATTTCCTAAATATAACTAATGCACATTACATCATACCGATGTTATTTATGTATCAGCAGAGCCTGAAGATTACTGGTATGCTTTATTGTAAATTCATTTCTTCTTCTCTTTAAAAAATGTCAGTTGAATAAATGACTGTAACATTTGATATCTCCTGTGTTGTGGAAGCTGCTGAATCCAGAGGATGACCTCCATCCAGGGAAGATTAGGGACAGCAATCGCTCTACTCTCCTTGCCACTATACAGGAACATGGCTACCCCACAATCAATCTGGGCATTGTGGGAGACAAGTACGCCTTCAGATTTAACCTGTTTCAGAATTTCCCTGTACCACAATTATTCGTCACATCTCTATTATCCATCATCATCTTACTTTAGTTCCTCTTGTCCAAAGCCTTGTGTTTTCCTTATTCCTCCATTATGTTCTCTTGGGTGAGTTGGTAGTTTGCGCAAATTTTATTTTTTTTCCCCTTCTTGTAGCCCCGATGACCTTCTTAATGCTCTGAATGAAGGCATTAGCCGTGCTGATGTCATCATCACCTCAGGAGGAGTGTCCATGGGAGAGAAGGTAGTGGGGGAAAAAGGGGAAAAAATGTTTTATTTCACTGACACCTTGTGGCAGAGCAGAGGATTGTAGAAAGGTATTTTTGGAAATACAAAATCAAAGTAGAAATATACATTTAAGAATACTTTGTACTGAAGAGTCTCTTTGATTTAAATTGTCCAGATTGCAACACTGAAAATTATGTATAGAATTTCATTTTTGTTACCTCTGGAGAAAGTCTCAATCTATGAAATTACACTTATAGCCACTTCTTAATCAAAATATCCTCTGAACATCACAAACAAATGTTTTCCAAAAGTTAGCTTATGTGTGTTAGTTCATAAGCTTTTTGCATTCATTCACCATCGAATGTACCTGCTTCAAACAAAGTGTCTTTTGTTTTCTCTTATATGTTTTTCGGTATGATTTTACAAGACAATCATAGATAAATAAATCTTAGATAAATAAATCTTCCTCTCTCTAATCTCTTTTTAGGACTACCTTAAGCAGGTGCTGGATATTGATCTTCATGCTCAGATCCATTTTGGTCGTGTTTTCATGAAACCAGGGTAAAAAAAAAAGGAGTCTGCTTTATTTTCACTTTTTTCTCACTATTCTTTAATCTTTTTTTTCTACAAAAAATCTATGCGGTAGATAGGAAGAAGTCAAGTTGTTAGTACATGTATGTAAATGATTGCGCATTGTTGAAAATGTTTGTCAAATATGGAATCTTCATTATTTTTCTTTTCTTTTGTATTCAGTCTACCAACAACATTTGCCACCTTGGACATGGATGGTGCTCGCAAACTAATCTTTGCCCTCCCAGGTAGTGTGTGAAGTTGAGAGAAAGAGTGATTCAACCTGCAGCTTGCTCTGACACGTTACTCAGATATTTTTCTCTCTGCTCTCTCCTGTGGTCCTCTCTCTGTCCATCCGTCTGTCCTAGGAAACCCCGTGTCCGCTGTTGTCACCTGTAATCTTTTTGTAATCCCTGCCTTGAGGAAGATGCAGGGCATTTTGGACCCCAGGCCCACCATTATCAAAGCAAGGGTAGGACACACAGAGCAAAATTGTGAAGCAACAACATTTTTCCTCCTCTTTCCAGACGAGGTTTGAAGTTCACATGAAAAAGTGCAACCAGTAACCAGTAGTAGAACATGTAAACTGTTCTGACATACATGCAGATTTTCCCTGTGTTTTGCTGCTTTTATTTTTTATCTTAATTCATGATTTAATAGCATTTTCTTTATCCACTTGATGCACATTTATGACCAGTTTCTGCTGTGATTTGGCTGATCCATTACTGCTCACACTGATCCAACAGCCTGCTCCTCAATGTGAATATTCATAACTGTGGAGTGGGAAAAAAATGAATATCATACAGCCTGAGCAGATGCAGCTCATATCTGTAACCAGCAGCGTTAGGTAAATGATCTGTTCCCCTGTCATTATGAGTGCCATCCAGAGTGCAATACTACATCATTCGCTGTTAAAAAGCAGTTGGAAATCAAATTCAATGTATTAGTGCCACTTAGTGGAAGGGCCGATGGCCTGAAAGCACTGAAAGTACTGTAGCTAGACAATTCACCTAAGCTGATGGCATCACTCCCAGGTCAAACAGACTTTGGATAAAACTTTACAAGCAAATTGGAAATAAATCTTCGCTTGTTTTTGCTTGGAATTTTTCCTTTTATAAAATACATCACGTTTTGGGATGCATTCAGCATAATTTGGGTTGGAAAAACGCCCTTACCGAATTTGATTATATTTTGGGAAATGTCCAGGTCTGGGATGTCTTCCACTTGAAGATTTGTTCCTTTGTTTTTGCCAGAACTATTGGAAAATAAGAGAATTTTAAAATCCAGCTCCTGATTTTGGCAGGAGGTAAATCCTCACTGCATGGAATTATAAAACATGCACAAAAAGGTCAAAACTGTAGCCAAAGTTGTTGTGAAAGGAATAACTTGCACTTCCATCATTTTAAAGTCACTCTGTAGTAGTGAGACATGCTTTCATGGAATAAGTCTCACCTAAACTGTATGTCACAAAGGTGACAGTGTTTAAAGTAAGAACATCTTTGCGGACATCTGAACTGATACGAAGAACATCTGTGATGACTTCAGTTGTATGTTTGTTCATAGTTGTCTTGTGATGTGAAGTTGGACCCGCGCCCTGAATACCACCGCTGCATTTTGACATGGCATCACCAGGAGCCTCTTCCGTGGGCACAGAGCACAGGTACAAAACATCGGTATTCTGCCTAGGGTTAGGAAGGGCTGGAGCCTATCCCAATGTATGTTAGAAAGTTACATTCTGAGTGACAAACATTAATGCAATCTATTCAACACGATTTTCAAATATTAAGTTAATGAATTTAGCAAATGATGGAAGATCATCTTAAGCCTTCTGTTTTTATAAGATCTTACAGAGCTCTGGGTCTGAACAGGTTTGTCGAGAAAAGGTACCACAACAACTGAGCAAAACAGTTCAGCTAGCCAGTTTGAGGCAACAAACATTAAATGCTTAAGTGGTGGCGGGATGACATCAGACCCACTAAATATCCGGAAGCTAAAGGAAAAACATTCCAGTCTGATGCGTGCTCCTCTCTGCCACAGGGAACCAGGTGAGCAGCAGACTGATGAGTATGCGCAGTGCGAATGGGCTCCTGATGCTACCTCCAAAAACAGAGCAATACGTGGAGCTGCACAAGGGCGAGGTTGTTGACGTCATGGTCATCGGTCGGCTATGATGTCATCACAGCGAGACGAGTGAAATGGCGTCATATAGCGAGGGAATGGGTGGTTCACGGTGCATGTCCACATATCATTGACTATTCTGTAATATGCAACGGCACAGCTAGTTTTTATTGATTTGGATAACGTTGAGGTATAGTCAACATCTTGATTCACAACCTAGATACATATGAAAAAAAATTGATTTAAAAAGATTATAGTATTTCAAACAAAGAAAATATAACTTTTAATGAAAAAATCTAATTATAAAAAGAGATTTATTCTGTAATATATTATTATGATTATTCTTATTATTATTATCATTATTCTTCTTATTATCATTATTCTATTAAGGCAACTTCGTTCCTTTCATTGCAATTGCTTTGTGTGTTCAATGCTAGATCTTATCTATAGCAGTAGCATTTTAATAGACAGCTGTAGGTGCCTGCCAGGACAAAAAAAAAAAAGAAAACTATTATTTTCTCATCTTTAGTGGAAAAAAAATAATCAGTTTTTTTGAAAATGAAGAAAACAAGGAAGGCTACAGGTTTCCCATGGTGCTCAGCTAAAGAGGAAGAGGGTGCACATCGAGGTCGCCTCCTCTTTTGAGCGCCCATCAAGGTGACACTTCAGTTTTTTCTCTCATTAGTATGCATCATAATGGCTTCACAAAGAGCTTTGCTTGTTGTTTATCTTGTGAGTCTTGTTTATGTGCGCAGTGCCAAATGCCTGGGCAGGGTAGAGGTGGTGTTGGGAGGGGGAGGTGGGGAGGGGGTCAGACCCCACTTGGCCCAGACCTTGAAGCTTCCTTATATTCACGGTGACCAGGTGAAAGCTCAGCCCCGAAGCCCACCGGGGGCCAGCTGGGCCTGGGAGAGATAATCTTTTATTTGATCAACTATTTAAGAAAAAGAATAAAGAAAAGAAACAGCTTCTTTAAGTGCTGACAGCCTTTTTAACCAACTTCACAGAAAATGTACAGAAAAAAAATAAGAACCATATTGTACAGATATATGTGACCAGCACTCCTAAGGAAATTATTAAGCAATGAGGAGACATTGATAAACGCTGTACTATAACATTTTCTGTAATGATATGAAACTGATGACAGAGACTAAGATAATAAAAATACTTGATCATTATGTAAAAAAAGTTCTTGTTGGGTTTCGTTTTTTAATAAAATGTATCTAATAAAAAGCAGTGATTTTTTCTTCATTGGTGCCGAAGGTTATGTAAACCATCTGAAGTGTATTACAGTCACTTTGAAAGAAGGATGAACTCTTACTCTAACAGTCAATGATGAAAGCACCCCAGCTACAAATGAAAATTGATTTACGGCGTCAAGATGATGACTTAAAGATAAAAAGATCCACACTGAAAAACAGGTGAAAGGCAAATGTTTTACTTTATAATGAAGAATTTCTAGATAGAGTACATGATTTCCATTGTATTGTAAAATCTTATTTGAAATTTGAGACTGTCAAAAATGTTTTTAAAAAGATTATTAAATTGAGCATATTAGTTTTTTAATGCATGCCATGTATTATCTGGGGCCAAACTGCATTATATCGCATCACCTCCTTTGAATTTGTGTTTCTGTAGTTGTAAAAAGTCAGTCAGTCCAGACTTGTTTCAGATACAACTGGTATCAAATAAGCATATAGTTTGGAGAAAGTTTTGATTATCTCTCTTTTCAAATCAATTTTCACTATTTTAATTTTTGTACTGTTACTCCTTCCTTAATCTGAAGTACTTTCTTTGTCGCTACTCCACAGATTAGAAAAGGGAAGAATGAGATGCACTGAAATTAATCATTGCAAACCATAAGAGGTTTCACTGTCTCCCTCTAAGTATATACGATTTGGAAACTGGAAGAAGAGAGACTAACAAGGAAAAGTGGTTAAGCGCAGAGGCATCAGAAAGGATTAACCTAATAGAAAAAACAGCAGAAAAAAGGCAGCTCTGGGCTTTCATGGAGGTTTTTGAGAGGCAGTATGAGATTAGACAGCTTCTGTTCCTCTTTGCAAGGTGAAATGACAGAAGATCCCATTAGGTGGGGATGATTAATAAGGCCGTGACAAGAACGCCGGCATTCCTCTATGAGGAAATATATATGTGAGGGGATCACTGTGAAGGTGATTGTAGAAAATAACAGCAAAATTTTCATACCCTCAAGCACACTAAGTGTGTTTATTTATGAGGGATACCTTAAGTGTCTAATTTTCCTGAATAAACTGCACTAATTAAGGCCATTGGGATAGAGAAGTAAATTAGAAGATTAGTGAATAATTACAGCCTGCCAGAAGAATCTGATAGGAAAACTGTAATTTACATTTTTGCTTTGTATATGTGTCTGTAAGCAGAGGTTAAACTGATGAGTAAAAAAACAGGAAATCTCTGTCCAGTTTCGATATATTAACGCTAAGAGTTTTTTTCTTCTCCTTTGGTTTTGATGTACATCAGCTGGGGAAAAAAGTATCCACAACTTTCAGGATGCTGTGAGATGTTAACTTTTTCATAGAGCTTGAAACTTGAAATCTGGAGACATTAGAGGTCTTAGTTAAAGAAGGCAAACAGTACAGAAAAACACCATGTGATGGTATTTTTCAGATTCACCACCACTTGATTATAATTCTAACCCTTATGGTCAATTTTCAAGAATGATATGCAACTGCTCAGGTATGAAAGGAAATAGCTAACTTGACTTCAACATAGTTTATATCTATGATAGTTTGTCCATAAGTGAGGTTATGGTCACCAAGAAAATTCTAATTCCAGCATCAAACGTTTCATACCAGGAATGATCTTGATTACTGAAGCAGCCAAAATTGCAAACCTGAACCTAACTTGCATGAGCTATTTAAATGATTAGATTAAAAAAGCATAGCTAATAAATAATTTAAAGAAACTTATGAGGGTAGAAAAGCAAAATTGGTGATAGTAGGAAGAACAAAGATATGATTCAGAGCAGAAAATCGGAGGATGAGTAATGGACAGTTTGGAATAATTATGTGCTGATGTCTTTCATCTTTTTTTGTGTGTTAAAATGTCCCAACTTCTGCATTTGTGTATTTGATCACAGTTGCAGTTGATCAGCAGCTCCTGCTGGCTAATTACCCTCTTAATTTTGATGGTAGCCAAAGGAACGTGTTAATGTCCACGTTCTTATTTTCACTGTCACCTACTTAAATAGGTCATGTGTGGTTGATCATCAGAGGTTGTATTAACCTACTTTTAAGACTGGATAAAGACCAGGTGATATGTTATTATGTCATGTTATGTTAAGCCTTGAAATTAAAATATGGTATTGTCACGAAGGTGTCCTGTTTGAGGGGTTTTTCGTCTCGTCTTTTTCTAGTCTCGTCATTTCCTGTTTTATTTTGAAGAATAACCCTCATCTCGTTTCAGGTCACTTGCACTTCCTGTTGTGTCACCAGTTTGAGCGTCTCCCTGATTACCTATTGTCTGCACCTGGGTATCCCTTCCCTCATGTGGTTAAATAGTCCTCGTCTCCCTTTGTCCCGTGCCAGTGTGTTTCGTTCCCACCACAGTGCCTGTCTCGTCCACAGTTCCCTAGTCATAGAAAACCTTTCATAGTTCCCGTTCCTTGCCTTTGAGCCTCCTGTTATTTTGCCTCTTAAGAGTGCTTTTCAGTTATTCTCCTAGACGACTATTCCTAGTGAGTATTCCTTTGTTACTTTGTTCCAGCCCTTGCCTCCTCGTGAGAGATTTCCGTTGTTACTTTCATCAGTATTGTTTTGAAACTTTCCTCTTTAGCCTCGTTCGAGTGCCTCTTTCAGTTTGTACTTTGTCCTCCGTTATTGGAGCGTTTTGTGTTGCTTTTTGTCCACTCCTTTGAGTGCGCTTTTTGTTAATAAACTTTGGATTTTGGAAACTAGCTCTGCTACTGAGTCCTCGCTGAGTCCCTGAGCCTGACAGGTATAGCCTTTATGATTTGCTTGCAAGTGTAATTGACCTATCAATTAGGAGTTGAAATGACAATCAATTTTACAGCAAAATAAAATCGATGCATACAAATGTAATTACCAATTGTTAATTTTCTATTACAAATATCACATCTATCATTACTTAAGTTTGTTTTGTGTGAATTATAAGTGTGATTTTTATGCTGGGTATTTTCAGCATGAAAATATTTTCAAGCGAGTACGTTAGACAATTAGCTGTGATTTCGAGAAGCATCCCGCTGCATCCTGCAGGAAGGCGGGGCTTGACGTCAAGCCCTTCCCACATCAAGCCCCTCCCACATAAGGAACATCCGCAGGATGCAGCGGGATGTACTTGAAAAATACAGCGGCAGCTTTCTTAAATCTTTCATGAAATGGATATAAAAATTGATGGTTTATGACCTCTTAGGTCAAAGTAAAATTCCCATTTTAATTACATTTTCATTCAGAACATAATATGTAAATGATTAAAGTTAAAAAAACACATTAATAATTGAATAATACCTTACAAATGTACAACTTGAATACAGGGAGAACATAAGGATTTTGTATAGTGGATCACAACATAGTTAGCTGACATCTTTGTTTTTTACAAAAAAATAGTTTTTGTTTTTTTATATATATATATATATATATATATATATGGATTACGTAGTTGTTCCACACCCACGTGAGCAACAAGTCATTCTTTTGAACCTATAAAACACAACCCATAATGTAATCTTACAAAAATATATGTTGATTTATAGCACACATTAGAGTTAAAAATATAGTTAAAATATAGCTAGCATTGCAATAGCTGAAGTCAGAGAGCTTTGAGCATTTCTGTGCCTTGTGTTACTTGGCCCCGGGGGGAACTGTCACCAGGCTGTGGGATGAAATGCAAAGCAACAAGAACTCTCACATGCACACACTTACAGAGACAGTAAAAAATGTCAAGGCTCCACTTTCAAAACATTCATTCTTCTCAGAGCAAGGGCGCATTTAGCTGTGTGCTGCCTTACCAAGATGCCACATTGCATGCTTGAGCCTTGAGAAAGCTCATTGTTGTC